GTTGTGGCCCCTGAGAAAACCCATCAGCATGCCTGCAAGCTTTAGCTTATGTTGTTCCCTCCACCTGGAGTATCTTCCCTCTTCTTGGTGAGTTCCTCAAACAAGTCCCAAGGGTAAAGGGGACCTGCAACTTGTAAAAGAGCACCCGGGTATCGGCTCACTCACCGAATGCTGGCCACTGCCAAGCAGAACTTGCTCAGGACACAGCACCAGCCTCCAGGGAGCCCACCATGTAGTATGGGAGACAGACGTTAGCAGGGAACTGTGGAAGTGCTTCTGGGCTCTGAGGAAGGTAAACCGGGAGCAGGGAGGCTGGCCCGAGGTGATCCCTGAGCCAAGTTCTCAAGGCCACAGAGGAGTGAGTCAAGCACAGGGGATGTGTGTCCTGAAAGACATTCCATGGCCAGGGATGGGAAGGACAAGGTGATGACACAGAGCCAGCATGTTCTGACAGCTGTGACAAGCTGTGTCACAGCGAGTGTGAAGCAAGACTGGGAGCAAAGTTCAGAATAGGAAGGGGCTGTGTGCCAGGTTAAGGGGTTACACTAAGAGGAGATGGGGGAGCCCCAGGAAGTTGTAAGCAGGGTGAGTGTTAAGATCGGAAGCAACACTCTGGCTGCAGTGTGGAGAAGGGATTTTACCCAAGTCTAAGGCTTTGGGCATGCCGGGGAAGGGAAAGAGCAAATCGAAGAAAAGAAATAATATTGCCTGAAAAGATGCTAAATGTCAAGTCCTTTTATATCTAAATATATGATACCATTAAGATCCCCAAAGCGCTCAGTTAGGTCCCATTCAACAAAGGAGAAACCCAGGCTCAGAGAGGTCAACTGACTTGCCGCAAGTCACACAGATGTTACACAGCCAAGGCAGCCAAGGTTGTTCTTCCTACTCCGCCAGGCTGCCACCCTGCACGCTGGCTGGGAAATAGGGTGTGGAGAGACACGATGTATAAGGACTAGCAGAGGCAAAACTGGGCAGGAGGCTCAGATGCCAGGTTGAGTCTGGACTTTACTCAAAAGTCACACGAAAAAAGGGCATAAGGTCAGCAAACACTTTCACTTAATGGATGTTAATATATTTCATGCCTTTCTCAGCCTGAGAAACTTATGCTCTGTCCCCTGCCTCCCTAAATACTGCCCCAATGCTCAGAGGGGAAGCAGGTAAGGGCCGAGAACCCTTTTACACTGGGCTAGCTGCAGAGGGCAGATCCTGGATCTTCAGCTCCACTGCTTCAGCCCATACCTTTGCACACCCCCCTTGTAATTCTCCAAGCATGCATGAAACCAGGAGCTGGTTCTTTGAAAAGATCAACAGAATCGATAAACTTCTGGCAAGACTCGTTAAAAAAAGAGAGGACCCAAATAAGCAAAATAACTAACGAAAGAGGAGAGATAACAACCAACACCAGAGAAATACAAACAATTGTAACAGAATATTATGAAAAAATATATGCCAAAAAATTGAACAACTCAGAAGAAATGGGTAAATTCCTAGAAACATATAACCTACCAAAACTAAGCAGGAAGAATTAGAAAATTGGAACAGACCAATTACCAGCAACGAAATTGAATCAGCAGTCAAAAAACTCTGAACAAGCAAAAGTCCGGGACGAGACAGCTTCACAGGTAAATTCTACCTATTGTTCTCAAGTTATTCCAAAAAAATACAAGAGGAAGGAATACTCCCAAATTCATTCTATGAGGTCAGTGTCACCCTGATACCAAAACCAGTTAAAGACACCAGAGAAAAAGAGAACCACAGGCCAATATCTCTCACGAATATAGATGCAAAAAAATCCTACACAAAACCTTAGCAAACCTAACTGAACAATACATTAAAAAAATCATACACCACTATCAAGTGGGATTTATTCCTGGGATGCAAAGGTGGTTCCATATTTGCAAATCAATCAACATGATATATCACATGAATAAGAGAAAGGATAAAAACCATATGATTATTTCAATAGATGCAGAAAAAGCATTTGACAAAGTACAACCCCCATTCATGATAAAAACTCTCAACAAAGTAGGTCTAGAGGAAACATGCCTCAATATAGTAAGGGCCTTATATGGAAAACCCACAGCTAACATCATACTCAATGGGGAAAAACTGAAGCTTTTCTCCTAAGGTCGAGAACAAGAAGACAAGGATGTCCACTCTCACCACTTTATTCAACATACTACTATAAGTCCTAGCCACAGCAATAAGACAACATAAAGAAATAAAGGCATCCAGACTGGAAGGAAGAAGTGTAACTCGTGTTATTTGCATTTGACATGATACTATAAATAGAAAACCCTAAAGAGTCCACCAAAAAACTATGAGAACTGATAAATGAATTCAGTGAAGTTGCAGGATATAATATCAATGTACAGAAATCTTTTGCATTCTTATACACCAATAATGAAGCAGCAGAAAGTGAAATTAATAAAACACTCCCATTTACCATTGCACCAAAACAATAAAATATCTAGGAATATACTTAACCAAAAAGGTGAAAGACCTGTACTCCGAGAACTATAAAAAGTGAGGAAAGAAATTCAAGATGATGAAAAGAATGGAAAGACATTCCATTCTGATGGGTGGGAAGAACAAATATTGTTAAAATGTCCATACTACACAAAAGCAATCTACACATTTAATGCCATCCCTATCAAAGTACCAACAGTATTTTTCACAGAAGTAGAACAAACAATTCTAAAATTTGTATGGAACCATGAAAGATCCCAAATAGCCAAAGCAATCTTGAAAAAAAAAAAAACAAAACAAAACTGGAAGTATCATAATCCCAGATTTCAAGTTATATTACAAAGTGGTAGTAATTAAAACAGTATGGTACTGGCATTAAAAGAGACCACATAGATCCATAAAACAGAATAGAAAACCCAGAAATAAACCCACAACTATGTGATCAATTAATCTCCGACAAAGCAGGAAAGCATATCCAATGGGAAAAAGACAGTCTCTTCAACAAATGGTGTTGGGAAACCTGAACAGCCACATGCAGAAGAATGAAACTGGACCATTTCCTTACACCACACACAAAAATAAACTCAAACTTTGGATTAAAGACGTAAATGTGAGACCTGAAACCCTAAAAATCCTTGAAGAGAGCACAGGCAGTAATCTTTCTGACATCGCCTATAGCAACACTTTTCTGGATATGTCTCCTGAGGCAAGGGAAATAAAAGCAAAAATAAACTATTGGGACTACATCAAAATAAAAAGGTTCTGACCAGCAAAGGAAACAATCAACAAAACTAAAAGGCGACCTATGGAATGGGAGAAGATATTTGCAAATGACATATCTGATAAAGGGTTCGTATCCAAATATATAAAGAACTGATACAACCCAACCTCCAAAAAACAAATAATCTAATTAAAAAGTGGGCCAAAGACATGAACAGACATTTCTCCAAAGAAGACATTCAGATGGCCTACAGACACATGAAAAGATGCTCATCATCACTTACCATCAGGGCAATGCAAATCAAAACTACAATAAGATATCACCTCAGCTGCCAGAATGGCTAAAATCAACAACACAGGTAACAACAAGTATTGGCGAGGATGTGGAGAAAGGTGAACCCTCTTGCACTGTTGGTGGGAATGCAAACTGGTGCAGCCACTCTGGAAAACAGTATGGAAGTTCCTCAAAAAATTAAAAATAGAACTCTCTTATGAGCCAATAATTGCACTACTGGGTATTTACCCAAAGAACAAAAATAAAAATTCAAAGGGATACATGAACACTGTTGTTTATAGCAGCATTATTTACAATAGCCAAGATATGGAAACGGTCCAAGTGTCCATCGACAGATGAATGGACAAAAAAGAAGTGGTATATATATACAATGGAATATTATGCAGCCACCAAAAAGAATTAACTCTTGCCATTTGCAATGACATGGATGGAGCCAGGGAATATTTTGCTAAGCAAAATAAATGAGAGAAAGACAAATACCATATGATTTCACTCATATGTGCGATTTAAGAAACAAAATAAATGAACATGGGAGGGGGTTAAAAAGAGAGGCATACCAAGGAACAGACTCTTAACTATACAGAACACACTGATGGTCACCAGAGGGGAAGTAGGCGAGGGGATGAGTTACATAGGTGATGGGGAGTAAAGACTGCACTTATGATGGGAAAAAAAAAAAACAAATAATTTTTAAAAAAGAAATTAAAAAAAAAAAAAAGTCTCCAAGCACCCCTCACACTTCCAAAACTCTTGTGTGACTGCTCACGACAATGTCTAGGCCTGAGTGTTTGGGTGTCAAAAAGAGTATATTTTGATGACCTCTCCCTCATGCTCGCTCATATCTCTTTCACTCCCTTGAAAGTCCGTTCCCAAGTCCCCACCTCACCTTCCTGGGCTGCTTTTAGCCAGAAGAGAAGAGATCCTCTCTTAAAATCCGTTCGGGGAAGAGGGCGGTGCTCTACAATGGACACCCTCAAAGGAAGAGCCTCAGCTGGATTCGGTTTCTAAGTACCAGTCGTCCAAACCTCTGTGACATTCCCGTTCCCTTCTCTGGGTCTCAGCTGCCCCTTGAGTACAGTCTCCGTTCTGACAGGAAAGGTCGCGGTCTTCTCTGGCCCCTCTGGCCCTAATTCAGAAAGGCCCCTACCGAAGGCCCCACCCAGCCCCCTACCCTCACGCCCAGTAGCCGATAGAACGCAGCCTCCAAGGGCGAGGTCGTGATCCTCACCCGTCCGTAGGTGATCCCCTGGCCAGCCTCAGCGCGCCTTCAGCTTGCACCCAAAGACCTACAGCCCCGGGGGCCACCCTTTTCTCCCTGCCCGCATGAGCAGAGGATCGGCCGAGACGCCTCCGCCAAGAGGATTGGCTCAGCTCGGTGCTAGCTCAGCCAATCGGCGCTCATAACATGATTCTGCCCAATGAAGCCCGGTCTCGGCTGTGAGCGCACAGCCCCCAAGCCCTGGGCTTGGCTTTTGTCCGGTTAGCCCCACCCACCACAGCTCTACGCCAATGGTGAGCAGCGCTGCGCGCGCGGGGCCGTGGGAACGGCGCCGAATCAGTATGTACGTCGGTTGCCGTAACAACGGGCAAGGGAGTCCATCGGCAATGGTGAGTGGGGGCTGCCCTTTGGTGCCCCGCGCCCAGAGGCCAAGCTCTTCCCAGGCCTCATCTGGCCCTGCCAGCTCTCCTGCTCCGTTCTCGGCTTTGGAGTAACCCTACTTCCTCTGAGCTCTTTCCCGGAAGGGTAGGGTAGAGACGCCGGCCGCCCAGCTGGGCCTGTGATTCTCCGCTGCCTCCCCGTCATCCAGTCTGCGCCCCCCCCCCATCCCTCGGGCTCCCCTGGCCTTCCCCTGCCAGCCCCCTCGGTGGCCGCCCTTGGTGGGAGAAAACTCGGGTTACCCGCATGCCCTGACCCTTCAGACCCTGGCCGCCTTGCGCTACCAAAGTTTACCCACAGAAACGGGGGGGAAGTTTATTATGTTTGTTAACGCGCATTCTAAATAAGTACAGGGACATTCGGGAGACGTTTTGAGCTTCTTGACGGAGGCACAGAGGTGTCGAGTGGATTGAGTTTTATTATTCGGTATTGGCAGAATATACACCTTAGCTACGTAGTAATATTTAGCCAAATGTAGAAGTAATCACAAAGTCGGAGTACATAGAGGGAAGCGGAGTACTGGGAGCAGGTGTTGTAAGGACATTTCTAGAATTAGGATCCCCAAATTCAAGGACAGCTGATTATCTGTACAGTTATCCACAGTCAGCTCCTTGGCTAGATCTCTTTGGGGATGATTTTCAATAAGAGATGTCCAAAGGAACAAGGGGTCTCCTTGCTTCTAGAAACAATAGGAGAGAAGAGGGAGGGATAGAGGTGCATGGAAAAAATTCGTTGTTCTTTCCAGTAAAGCATATTCTTTCCTGTTAAGCAAAGCTTTGGAATTGCTTGGTGTAAATATTTTTTAAAATAGCTTGTAACTATTTTATGTAAAATATGGATTGTATTACATAATATTGTGCTTCTGTGTTTGTAAAATATCTAAAGGCCTCTAACTTTAAGAAGGCAAGCATGGCATCATCTGCCCAGAGAAAAAGGATGAGTCCTAAGCCAGAGCTTACTGAAGAGCAGAAACAGGAAATCCGGGAAGCTTTTGATCTCTTTGATGCAGATGGAACTGGGACCATAGATGTTAAGGAACTTAAGG